TCCAAGAGGATATCCAGGCAATCCTGTAAGTATTTGGTCTTTAGTTTCAATTTACATAAATTTCTCGATTATATTAACTTTCCTTGAAAACAAAGCATTTCTTTTCATAATTTATAATTTTTAAGAACGTGATGATGAGTTAAAGATAAAACATTTACTTAGTACAGTAATCCTTGGTCAAATATCTGCTGATATTTGACTTATAATTAAAAATCAGAAAAAACGTGTACTTTAAGCAAGGTTTTGATTTGGTTTCCTAATATTAACTTATAAAAACTGTATTTTAGGGAGTAGCAGGATTTCCAGGAGTATCTGGACCTATAGGCGCTCCAGGTTTAGTTGGACAAGCAGGTCCACCAGGATTACCAGGACCCCCAGGGCCACCAGGAGAGGCAATCGTTGGAAATATTATTGATACTGGTAAATCGCCAGGAATTCACGGTCCTAGAGGATTTCCTGGACCTCCGGGAATTGTAAGTACAAAATATCTATCTAATTATTTTCATATATCTTTTAATGTCTTTGATTCTATGTCATATAGGAAAATGTTCTATATCTACATTTCACTATACAGCATTTGGCCTAAGTTTAAGACCATTTGAAATAAAGAACTGTAACATTCTTAGAAGAATGTTCCTGATATGACCATATCATATTATCCTTAGTAAATGTTTTATAAGATTGTTCTTTTTGTTGTTTTTCGTAGTATTTTTTATTAACAATATTGGTAGTACAGGTACAATTAAGCACTATTGCCTGAATAAAACATATCTATTATTGCTACTTTCTCCTCAACTGAGTACATTGTTTAATTACATTAAATAAATCACAAAATAAAAATGTTGGCAATTTAAATATTGTCAAATATCAGAAATATCAATATAGCTAAACGCAACAAGTCATACACATTCTTGCACTGCGTGTGGCCTACTTTTAGGAATGGCCTGAAAATGTATTATGTATATTCTTGCAAAATTTTGGAATACGTTTAATTCGTAGAACAATTTTAAAATTTGTTTCCGATACAAATTTCAGTCCTCTACAAATAGTTCCCAATAACTTTTGGCGTAAAATAATTAGGGAAGCAGGAATTCAACAATTTAGAATTTTCCATGGCCCGTTTGACCATTCACCACCCTGTATGTATTAACCAATGAACTGTCCATATATTATGTTTGTGAATGTATTGTTTTCTGGATATCCTGCTCGATATAACTTTTTCGGCTAATTAATTTCTATACCCTATATTTTTTGTTATTGTTGAAATAAACTATTTATTCTACAGCCTGGTGAAAGAGGTGCAGCTGGAGAAAGAGGACCAGCCGGTCCATCGGGCATTCCTGGACTGACGGGGAAAGAAGGTCCTACTGGTTTACCAGGACCTCCAGGTCAACGTGGTCAACCAGGTTTGTCAGGAATTCAGGGGCCACCGGTAAGTACATAGTGTAAAACAAAATATTGTTTCTTAAGCACAGGTGTATTTTATTATAAGAGACAACTGTTGGCATATAATTTGGGAATCCATGATGAAGTCACAGAAAGGACACATGTATGTCTGGCCTGAAAATGTCTCATCCCGAGGAGCTCAAGAGCTTCATGCTTAATAAACCATCTTAAGGCGCACTTACCTGATCCAACTGAATAACTGATTTTGTATAGCGATGCTTGTAAGGGTCAGAATCGGAATATAAAGGTGGCTTTCTCTCTCTTCAATCCTGACCCCCCAGGGGGAATGTAGTGGTCGACGTGATGTCGTGTATTGTCCATCTCCAGAGATCTCTGGTCATTTCTTTTAATTCATGCATAGGTCTTTGGCATATTCCTGTAATTTGATCTATCCATCTTGTTGGGGATCTTCCTCGTGATCTTCGGCCTTCTACCTTTCCTTGTATTATGAGTCTTTCCATGTTTTCTGTGTTTGCTCTCATAACATGCCCAAAATATTTTAATTGTTGGAGATGGACTTTACTAGAGAGTCGTTGGCTAACTTTTAGCTCTCTTAAAATTGAATTATTTGTTCTACGGTCGGACCAAGGAATTCGTAGCATTCGTCTCCAACAGAACATTTCAGTGGCGTCTATCTTTCTTCTCTCCGATTGTCTCAGAGTCCAAGATTCACATCCGTAGGTCAGTATTGGGAATATTAAGCAGTTGATCAACCTCATCTTTATTGCTCTTGAAATTTGACAGTCCTTCCATATTTTGGTCATTTTTGCTGTGGCAACTTTTGCTAGATCACATCTACGTTTAATCTCTTCTTGTAAGGTGGCTTTAATGATAAGCAATTATCTTCAAAAGTGTAAATTGTCACTCATAAGTTATAGAACGAAGATGTTTTGTATCTGGACATAGTTTTAATGCATACAATCAAGATTTTTGGTTGATTGAAAAGGAGAGAAAATACAATGATCGAATTTTTTATCCCGATGATTAGATTTCCATAATTCAATCGGCCAAAAAAGAAATCCAAAATTCCAGGTCAAAAAAATGAACTCACTAGAGTTTTTTATTAGCCAGTCCTTTGAGAATTAGATGACAAATAAAAAGGTTGAATGGCTGAAAAGTTGAATTCAACAGATAAGGTATTTTAAAAACGAACCAAAAACAATTTATGTAAAATATACAGTACAGAACATGGGTTTAATTACTATTTATAACTGGGAATAAGCCACAATTAAAGATAAAAATACGTTTATTGACGTTTCAATTTGCAATTCGGAAATCGTTCTCAAAATACAAACAGTAAATGAAACAAATTTTGTTTTTTGTTGCATAGTGAAAAATTCTTCTAATAATTTAATTTTATCTGACTCATTTATATTGACAATTCAGACATACATTATGCATTTTAAAGTAGACGACTTTAAAATGATATTGCCAATATTGATAGATCTCAAATATATAAACACGCATGGGATAATGAACATAGGGTTCAATGGAATAATTCAAATATAGTCCTAAAAGAAACGGATGGTAAAAAAAGAAAAATCAAAGAAGCGGCTCTAATCATGCTAAACGAGGCGAATTGTGTCGCAAATTCCTCGGCAGAATGTAGTAGGATCTGGTTACCAATATTGAAAGAGGAAAAATACCAGTATTAGTAAGTCAGTAACATATAGAGGATACATCATTTATGTTTTTTAAATAACGTAACATATAAAATCAGAATTTTGATGTTTGTTGAAGGTAAACTAAATTCACGAACAAATACTTCTAATGTCGGGATAGTATTATGAGGTTTTTTTCCTGGTTTTTCCCTCATAATTTACTATGGAATCACTAACAGGAGAATTTTACTGTCATCATGTCATGTTTTTGTCTTTTTAAAGACGAATTACATGCTATGATTTTTTCTGACGGATATTCTCCAGTTAAAGTTAATTTCATGTAATCGAATGAACTATCTTATAAGTAAAGTCGTCCCAGGAGCGCAACTCAACAATATTGGCAATATCATTTTAAAGTCGTCTACTTTAAAATGCATAATATATGTCTGAATTGTCAATATAAATGAGTCAGATAAAATTAAATTATTAGAAGAATTTTTTCACTATGTAACAAAAAACAAAATTTGTTTAATTTACTGTTTGTATTTTGAGAACGATTTCCGAATTGGAAATTGAAACGTCAATAAACGTATTTTTATCTTTAATTGTGGCTTATTCCCAGTTATAAATAGTAATTAATTTACAATGCCACAAGAAAATAGCTTCAGAACAATACTAAGAACATGGATTTGTTTCATGAGGTTGATTTAAGCAAAAAAACCGAAGGCTGCCCGTCATAATTTACTGTAATGCACGACCTAGATGTTCTGTATCCAAATGGGACAGCAAACAAAAGAAAAGGGATTTAATGGATGTACTCAAGTTTATTCCGCCTGAGTTCCACAGTTTTTATTCTGGATTGAAAGATAGTTCCAATGCATTAGATGAGGTGAATAAGTTTTTAGCTAAGAAGTTGGAGATTTGTTTACTGCTTATCTTAATTTTTGTTTTGGACAATTTACTTCTTTTAGTTTTCTTTATGGCAAATGCGCCTTAACATAATACCTTAACACAAAAGTTTCTCTAGGAATATATTTTTTTTGTAATGGCACATGTGCCTATACTTTTTGAACACAGAATTAGAATAATAAAACTTAGGTGAGATTTTTCCTTAAATGTTAGTTTCAGACATTAGCTTTTCCTTAAAAAAAAAAGTGTTACATTTTTTTTATCATAAAAATTGTATTTTCATAATGACATGGCGACAAAGGTTACCTGTATTTAGAATCACTACTCCCACCAATCTTGTAATCTTGTAATAGACAATACAACGATTGAGCGTGTGTCCTGTTATAAATATCTAGGTGCTTGGATCACAGACGATACTGATCAAACAAAAGAGATTAGATGTAGAATAGAAATCGCTAGATCAGTCTTTAATAGAATACGCAAACTCTTTTGCAATCGTGATATCAATATAAAGTTACGAATACGAATGCTGCGGTGTTATGTCTTTTCTACCCTGTTATATGGAGTTGAGGCTTGGACACTAAAACAGTTGACCATAAAAAACATCGAAGCTTTCGAGATGTGGTGCTATAAGCGCATTCTCAGAATATCATGGATGGACCGCGTCACTAACACGCAAGTACTCCAAACTTTAGACAAAAGATGCGAAATTCTAAATGAGATAAAAACTAGAAAAATGGAATACTTGGGGCACATTGTGAGAGGTGAAAAGTACGAACTTTTAAGAAACATCATGCAGGGCAAAATTAAGGGCAAAAGAAGTGTGGGAAGAAGAAAAATATCGTGGCTTCGTAATCTACGTGAATGGTTCGGGTGTAGTTCGATTGAACTTTTTAGGCGCGCTGCTAACAAAGTCGCAGTGGCCATGATGATTTCCAATCTCCGCTAGGAGTGGCACGAGAAGAAGAAGACTCCCACCAAACGTACTTGACTTTATTACTCCATTGTTGTCTGACGTGGCATAAAATAAAAACTCTTTTATTAAAAAAAGGCTTTTAATTGTCTTTAGCTTTAATCTAATTTATTAAAATGTACTAAAACGTAAATAAAAAAAATGACACAGGTATAAAAAATGATATATAGTATAAAAATTCGATTAAAAAATAAAATGGAAATATCACTTTTTCCCCGCTGTCAGTTTTCTCACAAGAGGACCATTTAATTTAACGTTAAGGCTGATTTTGCCGAATTTTGGTAATGCATATTTCCTTCTTATTGCTTGGAATTTTGATTGTTCGCTTTTGACTAAGAGATAAGCGAGTTCGGCTATTAGCGATCTGAAGTCGTAGTAATCGTATGACGTATACTGTACAAAAGTGGGATTCCACAGTTTCGTGAGATCCATAGTTTCGTTCAAAATTCCCATTGATAAGCAACACGCTGCGGCTGCCAGCAAGGAAGGTCTTACATGCACTACATCGCTTTCAAGTAATGCCAATTCCAATATATATTTACCTAAAACATACAATGAATAATAAATAAAATTCTAAAAAGTATACTCACGAGAATAAATTGAATGAAATTGAAGATTATTCATTGTTTCTAAAGTAAATGAGGTATGAGTCATTTATAAAAGCCACTATACAGGATACTGCTGTTTGTTTTTTTATATAATTATTATAATTAATTCAAATTCAAATTTAAAAAAAAATAATTATTCAAATAATATTGAGTTGCTAAGGGTCAAAAAAGTTGAAACCAAAGAAATATATACTGCCGGTTTTTATGAGATTGCTAAACAAACTGCTTGTAAAAGGCCGCCTTGAGCGAGAACTAGAAGAAAAGCAGTGGCTGAGCGACCGCCAATATGGTTTTAGGGCCAAAAGGTCCACCATAAATGCGGTAACAGAAGTAACAGATCTTTAGTTACGCAGGATACAGCCACTCCTGCTTGATGTCAATAATGCCTTTAATACCCCAAAATATATATTGCCATATCCGTATATCTGTTGAAAAGGAGGGTAAGACAAGCTTAAATCCAAATTTTCAACTAAATACATGCAGTGCGGCAGAATTCGGAGAAGATTCTGAATTTTTCGCCCGAGTTACTGGACTATTAGTCCCTAGATATAATAGAATGAGATGGGATTACGCAGGTTAGAGTAGATGAGCTCCTTTAGAAATATGGATATTAGTTAGGGCTTCCGCTACAGCAATATTGTGGAGATATTCGAAGTTATGGAGCCTGAACATTCCAGTACTATGCTATACATAAAAGAATTCTTATAAATGCAGATAAACATGGAAAGACACAAAATTATGCTATACCAAACATTAAAACAACACCTAAAATTGTAATTTAAATATTTCATCGAGTCATCGAAACTTTCCTTTGGTAAATATTTTCTGGAACATATTGACAAAATGATAATTTATAGAGAATTAAATATTACTTACCTAAGTTATGATGCTCCAAGCGAGACTGAGTCACTTTTGTATATCTACGTAGAAACTGGACAGAAATCGGACGACCTAAGTTAAAATCTAACCTCTTCAGTATTTCCTTTTCCATTTGAAGTATCTGTCTTTTTGTAAACGTGTGATCACATACGTATTCAAAGTCCTCTAAATCTGGAACATATATTTCTTCGTACTTACATGCTATCAACATTGCTGAGGCCCCTAGAAAACAATTTAGCATAATTGTAGAAGTTGTAAGTACTGTACAGTATGATTTATCAAAAAATTTAAAAGTATCGTCATAAGTTAAACTAACAATAATAATTTTTGGATCCATTTTGCATAAATATGTAAATACGCTTACTGAGAAGTGATTTTGCTGGTAAATGAGCGTTACGTAAAACGGCTTTCGCACAATCTTCGACATTAAGAACCATGATCAATCACAGGTAAAAAAATGTAAGTGTCAATATGGCATAATGATAACAGTTACCAAAGCCACCTCGCTGTATTACAAAATAACTCCAAAATAATCATAATTAAAAAAGTCCTAAATTGTGGATGGCTAATTCATTTGGCTCTAAAAAATGAACCAAGGTATATTTTGACATGAAACAAAAAACACAATGCTTAGGGGACATGGTTGCAACTGAAAAATAGGGTTTTACGAAAATTCGCAAACGGAATTATCACACAGGATGTTTCAAAGAAGGATAAAAAACATGTTTTACTAACCCCGTAAAATAAGTCAAATATAAAATTTTATCAAAAAACTGACTATACCAAATTAAAATTTATAAATTCATAGTCTGCTAAAAAATCATCAAAATAGTTTTTTTGTATCTGAGTGTGTAGACTTACCTACTAACTGAAGCGTACTCCTTCCTACTTTCTTGTTCTCCTGTAAATATCTGTCCACAATCCCAATGCATATATGCAAAGTGTCAAGTGTGGCTTTAAAATTTGCGTGTACGTCCACTAACCAATTAACGAGTATTGCACGCATCCTGGAGGTAGTTTCGTGTCCTTCAAGAAAGTTCTCTTTGATAGCTAGTGTCAGTTCCATTTCTCTCAGGTATTTGAAGATATCCATCACATACTCAGTTACCATCTGAGGGTCATTTCTGCTACTTTCATCTGGGTCAACAATAGAAAGTTTTTTGCTTACTATTGTTGATGTCCTTGGTACTTCTTTAGGCTGTGTCACTTTTTCTTGTATCGGTTTCAATAAACTTTCCTGTCTTTTTAGTACAGCTGTAGGTTTTGTCGGAATTGCCTTGTCCTTGTTAGTCAAAGTTTTTACTGCGTCTTTTTTGGATTGCAAACCACCTTCTTGCTTTTTAAAAGCATTTTTGGTAGGGCCGAGACCAATTTGTGCTTTTTGTGATTCTTGTAGTGTATTGCCGACTTCTCCAAGTGCTGCTCTTTTTAGTGGTTCCAATGGCGGATTTAAGTTTGATTTCACAGCAATACGGGAATTTGCGTTTTCTTGATTTATGGTCTGCGTGGCTTTCCTTGGAACGGCCATGATTAAAACTAGAACAATTAATAAGTTTGAAGTCACTATATTACAATATAGTAAGATAAAAATAAATCAATACTGCGCAAAACATGTGTAAACTAATATACAGCGTCGGTTATATGAGCGGCTGAATTAAAAACTCACTAACCCGCCTTGCCAGCTTGGTATTTTAAGGCAAATACCTCCCAACAAAATGTACCTAACCTAAGTTAGTACTAACTAGGACAAAAATACAAAAAAAAAACAGAATAGTAAATAAAGAGGATAAAAAAAACCTAAATGGTTGAGAAAAGAAACCAATATCATTAGGATTTACAGTATCATTGTCCTGCTCTGCTAAGAACATCAGAATGACTAAATATATACAATGTATAAAAGAATAAAAAATATTGTGTGTGTTACAGATTACAATAATGATAATAATACAATTTTAAAAGTCATCTAGGGTTAGATAACATGGAAAGAACCCCAAGAGATCAATCCTTTTACTGCAGGTATCTGGGATGGATGAATTTTTCTCTTAGAGGGAGTGAAATCTGTATGACTTACATCAGGATAATAAGTAATAGTATCAGTAAAATTAAATGGATATTCCATGTTGTCTATTGTTGAACAAATAAATATGTTTCCAAAAAAATGTCAGATAAGAAATGTTAATGAGTAGTATTGGTTGAAGTGAGTAGAAGTCACTATGAATTAAGTTATAGTTGTTTATACCATTTCCAATTTTTCTGAACAATCGCAAGAAATTAATATTATTCTAAAAATGTCTTCAATATCGTGAAGTAATATGGACTGCTACAATAATAATATAGGAACAAGTAAAGAGCTGACAAATGAATTGAGAGTCCTCATTCATATAAAAAGTAAGGAAGTATCTTCAGTATTGTGAAGTAATATGGACTGCTACATGAATAATATAGGAACTAGTAAAGGCCTGACAACTTCTAAAGACAAAAAACATAGACCATAGGTACTTACAAATAATAACAAACCTTTACTGGAATCAAAGAGCACAAATCGAAATAGATAATGAACCCAGTCCAGAAATTGAAATCAGAAGAGGAGTTAGGCAGGGATGTATTATGTCCCCATTACTATTTAATGTATATAGTGAAGCCACTTTTGAACAAGCATTACTATCTCAAAGTGAAAGAATAATAATTAACGGAAGATCTATTAACAACATAATATATGCAGAACACAATGTGATTATGGCAAGCTCTGTTGAACAACTCCAATTACTGCTAAACAAAATTAATAGGTTCTGTGAAAAATATGGACTAAAAATGAATATAAACAAGACCAAATACATGATAATAATAAAGAAAACAAACATACCAACAATGATGATATCCAACCTCTGATTGGGAGACAGCACTTAAAGAAGAAAGAGTTGACAAATGAATTGAGAGTCCTCAGTCATATAAAAAGCAATGAAGTATCTTCAGTATTGTGAAGTAATATGGACTGCTACATGAATAATATAGGAACAAGTAAAGAGCTGACAAATGGATTGAGAGTCCTCAGTCATATAAAAAGTAAAGAGCAGATATTTTTGGTGAAGATATTCACAAATGAATTAGAAATAAGAAAAATTTATTTAAGATATAGAAGCATAAGAATAAGAAATATTTTAAAATTGCATTTGTAGATGATATAGGTATCAAGGCAAAAATAGAAGCTTGGTTATATGAAACTACGCATTAAGAAAAATACAAAATGTGTTTATAAAGTAATATGAAACAAATTAGAAATTAACAATATCCAAGACATAATATAGAAATCTGAGCATGGAAGGCAGAAATACTAAACTTTTAGCATAAAATTCAAAATAATACACTGTAAAGAAAACAAAAAATAAAACTATTGCCAGAGGTTCTAAATGAAATATGACAAGGCAGAAAGATAATTTTGAATAACTTCGTAAATTTATATAATCAAAGATTAAGCAACATTCTTTATTGATACTGTTAATCTTCCACTACTGGACAATATTATTTAGTAAACTACCAGCTTTAGGTATTTTAAAACTAAGTTCCTATGAAATATAAGCAAAGAATTGCTCAACTTGGTAAATAGGTTATCGAAATAATAAGGATAAGGATAGACGAGGTTATAAGGTATAATAAGATCTAAAAGCAGCTAACATTGAGGAGAAGCAACTAAAATTACCACATTAAGTATACTTGTAAAGACTTACCAAATGAACTGGTAAACTGTAGAAGCAATTAATCAGACTGGGACTAATGTTTCATTTAGGACTATTAATAAGTCTTCGTTAACATTTAAACTAAAAGCTATAGTACTCACATTTATTTTTATATGAAACTTAAATTAAAAATGATGTATTTAAATTATGCAAGTATTAAACTTATATTTTTTTTAGATAATCACTAAATTATTGTAGTAATATCATGATTTCGGTAAAATAGTACGTCTGCTAGCATTAATTAACACAAAAATACTGCTAAAAATCAAACGAGTTTCAAATACAACTTTAAAAAATTGATGCAAAAAGTAGTGTTCTCTTGGTGTGTGTGATTGTATTTACAGATGGAAAAACTGATTATCTACTAAAAATAGTAACCAACAGCAAATTTGTACTCACCTCAGTCTAATAAATGGGTTTTTAATAAAATGAAATTGTCAGTTTTTGTAATAAATAAAACCAAAACAAGATACAATCTATCAAGATATATTTTTCAACCGCCTTTAAATGACAGCTCGAAACTTAAATTCAACGGTTTATCGATGTTGCCAAGACAATGTTGTCGGATTAACTAACGGTGAAGAGTCGTTGGTTGCAAAATTGGTTGCATATTTAAATAATAAATTTTAAACAGTAATATCCGGTTAATTATAAAAACAAACAAAAATATATATCAATAAAATTCGCGCTGTTAAAAGTTGTTTATTAATTTCGAGTAATAAACTTATCAGTACCCGATTCAAAGTTAACAAATTTGACCTAATAACGACTAATGAATTATATGGTCTAGATAAAATAATATTTGACTATTGTAGAAAATATTTTTAGAAATAAAATTATTTATCGTGATTTTTATTTAAAGTTGTTATTTTGTTATTATAAAATTTATAAAACTATTGTTTTGCAGGGAAGAAGTTTTACTGAAGCTGAAGTAAGAGATATATGCGCAGCAGTTTTAAGAGGTAAATATTTCAAAGTGCTTCTTAAGATATCTATAAATATATTTAATAGTTAGTTATTTTTTGTGAAAGTAAGAACGTCTTAGTGTCTATTTTTATTCAGGTGGAACGTCATGGCTATTAAGAATAAGTGACCATTAATCTTATATTAAAAATAGAGAATTTGATAGATCTCAAATATTCCAACATGCGTGGGAAAATGAACATAGGATTCAATGGAAAGATTCAAGCATAGTCCTAGAAAAAGCAGATGTTAAAAAGAGAAAAATCAAAGAAGAGGCTCTAATGATGCCAAATGAGACCAATTGGGTCGCAAATTCCTCGGTAGAATCAGAAAACTACAAACGCGTTCGTTCTCTGACAGAATGCAGTAGAAGCTGGTTACTCATATTAAAAGATGAAGTTCTTCTTTTTAGATATTCTACTTCTTAGAAGGTCTCATGTTTCCCGATATTTTCGGTTCCTGAACCTGTCCAACGCATTTCGCTTATTCCCAGAATATTTAATGTTATGTGTGCCATTTCTTGTATTGCATTATGAATTTTACCTTCCTGTGCCATAGTTTTCACGTTCCATGTGCCTATTCTGATGTCTTCTTTGCATTTTAATCTCTTGGTTATACTTGTAACTGTTCCTCCCGGAGATCCGATTGAGGAGCTTACTCCGGAATTTAATTTCTCTGCAAGCATAGCCATTTGATTCTACCAGGACTTATCCAATCCGAATCTTTAATGAGGTCTTTGGTTCCAATCTTTCTTCCTCATTTCTATGCGGTTGACCGCTTCCACGGTTCTTCCGCCTTTGAAGCCAGTTTCCCAACTCCAGGATAAAGGGGTGCCTACCATTTACTAGCTCCTCCACCCGAAGCTGTTGGCCAGTAAACGGGGGACTGCTTATACCGGCAATCGCTCGGTGGTTAGAAGAAGGATAGAAGGAAGATTAGAAGAAAGTTAGAAAAGAGGAAGTTAATAAAAAGAAAATACCACCATTAGTAATTTAATAACAGATCGAGGATACATTATTTAAAATAATATACATATAAAATCAGAGTTTGGTATTTATTGACAGTACTTAAACTAAGTGTAAGACCAAATATTTACCAAGTCGGGATAGTATCATAAGGTTTTTTCTGGTTTTTTCTCATGATTTACCATGGAATCACTAACAGAAGAATTTAATTGTCGCCATTGGATGTGGTGGTTTTTTTAAAGACGGATCACATGCTATGATTTTTTCTGACGGGTATTCTCAAGTTAAAGTTGATTTAAATGTCCAATTAAGCCTCACCATATGGAAAACATTTTTATTTATAGTTTTATGAAAAAGTTCTAAATGATCTCAAACCTAGAAAACAATATCTGTACAAAATTTTACATAATAATATATAGATGAACAAAAATTACAAAACTACGAAATACGGAGCATTACCAAAACCAGTGAATGTTCATTAACCACAGTTTCTTCTCAAATAAAGGTAATTACTGCTTAGTTGGTCCCCTAGTGGATCATGTAAAAAAACCTGACACTTTGTCATTTGTCAATAGACAGACTGCACAACCTATTTGTACAGTTGTGCAAAAAATTACTATTTATTATTATTTTTTTTTTTTATTAAATCTTCAAATTTTGTAACCAATTGGAGCTTTAATTGAATTTTATATCTAATATCAGATCAACTTGCCGAGTTGACCGCTACATTAGTAGGTCCTCCGGGTCCACCAGGTGAATCCAGACCCGGTAGACCAGGCCCACCAGGTGTTCAAGGGCCACCAGGTATCTTACAAAGAACAACAATTATACCCAACAAAGCATCAACAATTCAAATATAGATTAAGGATTCTATTGTTACACATTAATATTCTTTTTATCATTTTCTATAACGTTTTTTTTTTGTCTTATAAACTAGATCATAAATGTTGTATCAACAGCAGTTAATCATAAACTAAAACATGACAAGCTTCAGATAGAAGCAAACATATATAAAAGACGAGATAAAAATGGAAAGATCAATGCTGTGTATCGCTTCGTGTTCGAGTTAGAAATGAAGACTTAAGACGAAGAAAAGGAGTTACCGATTGATTTTTTCCGAATTGCCACACTGCACTGCAACTGTGCCGGACACGTCGTCCGAATCAGTGATCAAAGACTAGACAAAAGAAATAAAGGAAGACCCCCTACTCTTTGGACCGACGATCTCAAGAAAATGTCATGAAATTGGTTGAAAAGTGCTCAAGATAGAGCACAATGGACAAAAATGAGGGAGGATAATGTCTAGCAGTGTGCTCAAAGGGCTGGGCGATAATAATGATAATGTGTTTAAAGGTGAACCATATAGATTACCTACTCCTAACTCTATTGGATGGGGAGAGGGAAGTACAGGGCAAAGGATCAGTAGAAAGACGCCAGAACTTCTAGCTGAAAGTCCTCAGAAGATGGTTTGACCACTGATTCACAGAAATCTTTGGTGCAGTAGTTGCTAAAGCTATAATTGCATAATAAGAACAAATAGGCTAAATAGAAAACAAGGTTTTTTAAATGGGTAAATGAATGAACAATTTTCCAATAAAGTTGTCTCAGGAACGCACCTCAAAAATATTGACAGGGAAGATATTGGAAATGATAACCAGACAATATAGAGAGAAAAAAACGAAAATATAATCAATTTGAAGAATTGTTGAAAGAACTGGCAAATTGTAAGAGGCAGATAGAAGAGTAGAACAAGTCGTCTTGGATTTAGTAGTGGAATAAATTAGTATAAAATTAGCCATTTTGCCATTAGACAAAAAATGTGTAATTTCACTTAAGTAAACTAAATAAAACTGTTGATGTTTTGTGGGTAATTTTGATCATGAACTAACAATTTCATCGTCGATATAATTACATAATTTACTAATTTTTTCCGCATGTAGAGAGATACAAAGAACTAATTTTGGGATTAAGGGGAGCACCTGGCCCGAGAGGTATTTTGAAACGTGGATTTGTAGGAAAACCAGGAGCCCCTGGCATCCCAGGTTAGAATTTTCATTCATTTTATAACAAATTCTTTATGCATGTTTTTTGTTTTCAACATTTTCTGTTTCGTTGAAATGGTCCAAGAAGGATATTTTATTGGACTACATTCTGATCTACATCAGTACTGGTGAGACTGTAATAATTTAAACATTATTGTAACTGTAATACATGTACATCTCTTGTACATCTTTATTATTAATACTTTCAGTAATAGGTACAGTGTCATCATAAGCCGATCTAAAGTGCTTAACATGTGCCATGAGACCTTGTGCTGCCTGTTCCATGTCATAGTCCTATCAGGGTCAGGACTTTACATTCATAAGCTATTTAGTCTCATGACATCTTTTCCTTCCGCTATCTTTACTGCTGCTATTCAGTCTCATGGCAGTAACCGTGCTGTATTCTGCGCACAGCATCAGTTTACAAAGTGAATTCTTCCTCATTAGTTTTCTGAATAAATTCACAATGTCTAAGTTTCTTTCTCGCTGACTTTGCGATGATCTCGAAGATTTCTTTTTATGTTCCGTAGAAGTCGTGTTTCATCAATTTTGAGAAGCTCTGCCAGTCTTTCCTTTTTATTTGTCTAACTAAAGTATTTGTTTCATTTCTGATTCGTTTATAGTGCTTGTATGCCCGTTGTGTTTGCTGTATTCTGTATTGGAATAAGGCTTCCTTCTTTTGTCTTCCCTTCCTCTCTAAAACATTATATTTTGATTCTGAGTGATTCTGCTGCTGCGTTATGCTATTTTTGAGTTTTTCTCAGCTTTCCTCGTTGTTTTTTTATTTTTTATTTAGGTAGGACATTAAATTAACCACGCTTCCCAGCTTTCTTTCTCTTTCGCAGTGTCTTAGCCGTCGTGTATCCAGAAATAGGCCTCCATCATAACTCTCCGCTTGTTTATATTATGTATTTCTCTGTCCAATTTAGTCCAGTAGTCATCTTAAGGTCACCACAACATCTAGCATGTGATCAGATTTGATTACTTTTTTTCTAGATTTAGTCTTCAATTAATGATTCTTGTACTCCATCGGTTATTTTCTAATTTTGAAATATGCCCCACAAAGTTCCATTGTAGCTTGATTGTGTCACTTCTCCTTCTTTTGTTTTATTTCGCATCTAATTGTTTCTTCTTTAGACTTGTAAACATATAGCAGCTTCATTTGTTCCATTGATCTGTAAGTCACTTCAAGTCTTAACAATATTTCCTTAAAATTCTCACTACTAACTGTATTCAGAAGTTTCTTTAACCATGAGAGGATCCAATTAGCTTCCATTTTGTAGGTTTCGTCAAATTAATCGTTGCAAGCTATATTTATGGCAGACTTCTTGGCCCATTATTTCTTTGGATTTATATAATCGTATTTCTTAATATTAACAAAATATCAGAACATAATCTTCATTTAACTAAAAAATTATTTATTCCTGCACAAAACAACAATTAATACTGACTTGCATAACTAGGTGATCCTGGTCCTCCTGGACTACAAGGAGAAATGGGCTTCATGGGACTTCCAGGTCCTT